TCTCTCTCTCTCTCTCTTTCTTTCTTTTCAGGAGACGCGGTAGTGTCTCCGGCCATGTTCAAACCCTAAAAGACCTTAAAAAAGACACTACAAGTCTCTTATCCTGCACCATCAAAGTCCATCTTTTGGGGGTGTAGAACTACTAAAATATAAAAAATTTTAAATTGCACGTAATATAACCTGAAAGGCGGCATCGCCAAGAGTAATTTGAGCCAAGAAGAAATAAAATCGGTCAAGCCGTTCTGGAGATACAAGCGGTCAAAAAGTGACGTTTTTTATGAAAAATGAAGTAACGTCGTCTTCTTCTTCTCTGTCCGCGTCCGCTGACGTCATCAGGATTATATATATATATAATATGTCTTTCACCCTCTTTCACCCTGTTTCGTCTTCTTTCACCCTCTTTCATTCTCTCTCACCCTCTTTCGTCCTCTTTCACTCTCTTTCGTCCTCTCTAACCCTCTTTCATTCTTTCTCACCCTCTTTCACTCTCTTTTGTCCTCTTTCACCCTCTTTCGTCCTCTTTCACCTTCTTAATGATGAATTCCTAATTGCTTACACAAATTGCTTACATTGTATGTATGTATGTACCATCTCACATAATGCATATCTTAAAATATGATGTTAAAATAATGTAGATTAAAATATATTTTTATAATATTGCATATCGATGTTTCTTGTATGCTGCCTGTAAACAATTAAGAATATATATAAACAATGTTGTACTGTACTATTTTGAAAATTAAATCTCACATATGTCAGAGCATTGTGAAATAAGTGAAATATTTGCTAGAAAGAATTGATGGTGTTTCTCTGCAATAGCAATTCTGCAATAACTATCGTGTAACTACCATATGAATAAATGTTTGCAAGCATTATTTCTTGACTGTTTATGAAACTGTTCAGAGAAACCTGAATTATTATATCTTGATTGTTTGCATATTCGATGAATGATAATGGCTATTTAAAAGAAGAATTTCTTTATTTACTTTTGGAGTGTCATAATAATCGTTTTTTGAACATATGGTGTCGTCAAAATAGCTAGGGTATAAATGTACTATACTTAATTTTGTACTGTCGCTGTACTAACCGATCTACACTTAATTGCTTATACATATGTACCAGTGCATTTTACCACAAATCACAAGTAATGTATACATCAGAGTGTCAATGTACTCTTATGTATACAATAAAATTTTTATTCTTTTTTGCTGTCGTCAAAATAGTAGACTGACATATATATATATATATATATATATATATATAACTTGTATTTATCAGAATTGTTAATAGAAATTCTTTCTTGAAAATATATATTGTGATATTCACGATATATATACGCATCGATAACGAATTAATTTCATAATTTTGTTAACATGTCCTGAAAAGAACCATTACACAAATATAAATTTTTGTACTTTTATATTAAATAAAAAATTAATTGTAAAGCTTATAAATTTACTACATCGTTACTAGAGATCCTTTCTTGAAAATATATATTGTGATTCATGATATATATGCATCGATACAACATATTAATTTCGTAAATTTGTTAACATGTCCTGAAAAGAACCATTATACAAATTAATTTATGTATTTTTAAAGTATATTAAATAAGAAATAATATATAAAGCTTAAATTTATTAGAATCTTTATTAGAAATCATTCTTTGAAATATATATATTGTATTTTATATATATATACATTAGTACATATTAATTTCTATATTTTCTTAATATGTCCTGAAAAGAACCAGTATACAAATTAATTTATGTATTTTTAAAGTATATTAAATAGGAATCAATATATAAAGCTTATATTAACTAGAATCTTTATTAGAAATCATTCTTTGAAATATATATATTGTATTTTATATATATATTCATTAGTACATATTAATTTCTATATTTTCTTAATATGTCCTGAAATGTACCATTATACAAATAAATTTATATATAAAAAAAAATATATATTAAAAGGTACATTTGAGGACAGTTCCTTTATATGTCCAAAGACAGTTTTCGGGACGCCCTGAAAACTGCCATTAGATACATAATTTTTTCAGGACAGTCCTGAAAAAGCAACAAAGTCCGGGACACTGCCATTGTGTCGCACACAATGTCCCGAAAAAATACCTCGCACATATATATAGATATATATATATAACTATATATATATGTTAGGAATTAAGGAAGTTTTACCGTAANAATTATATATATATATATATATTATATTATATTATACATATATACACATGTATACATATTATATACATATACAATATATACTCTGCACAAATTACAGGAATGTGAACATTACATCTGTTACTACAATATATGTAATAAGACAATTAAATCGGATTTATATTATACCAACTAATGTCCTATGTAGGAAAAATTAAATCAGACTTATATGCGAAATAGTAGTATAAAGAAAAATTCACAATAGAGAATTTTTAGTATATAAGCAAAATTTAATATTTTTACTTAATTTGATTGTTTTACGTGACAGAAAAATTTTTAATTTCTTTATGCATTGGATATTTTCACATATTAGTTTATGATATATGTATATAATTTTTATTTTTTTTTAAGTAACTATTTTATTATAAAGAATCTGAAGTTAATTAATTAAACTATAATAATTTAATAATTTTTGTTAAATATATAATTAGGAAAATGTGTCTTAAATTATTAACATATTCCAGTGTATGTTGAAACTTGCGACTCAAAACACCATAGGAAAAAGGTTTTTGTAAAATTAAAAAATAAAAGTATTTACAATTATACTTTACAACGAATTTGTGCAGTAGTTTTTGAGATGTAAGGATTTAGATGTTTTTAAGGAAAGTAGTAATTTTTGAGATATAAAGATTTAAAATTTTTTAAGGACCCAATTATAGGCTACGTTCATATACGTCCTGTTTTTGAATTATACGTATATGCGATACTAATTTAGTATTGCATGTTCTATTCACTAATGGGCGATTAGATTGCTTGGAATAAAAAATATCATATTTATTATTATTTCTTAATTTATTGAGAACATTTCTAGTATTATATTGAGTAATAATCTTTTTAATTTAATTCTGAATGGTATACATATAAATCACATTATATAACATATATAATCACAAATACGCATAACGTTTATAGTTAATAATGCACTGAATATATTGCTTTATATGTATTTTATAATTACCGAGATCTTAATTTCTATATAAGTTCTTTATTTTAATGAATACATGTCTTAATATTAAATCAATCTTTATCTTTTTTAGAGAATTCTTGTGATACATCTTAGATTTATATCTAAGCAAAATATAACAAAATTTATAGTAATTTTCTTCTTGAATATAATAAAATGTATCTAAGCAAAACAAAACTCAAATATAGTAATTCTCTTCCTGAATATAAAAAATTAAAGAAACAAAACGAAACATCCAATCCAATATATTTATATAATTACTGAAATCTTAATTTCTATATAATTTCTTTCTTTTAAATAATACATATGTCTTAATATGAATCTACTCTTCATCATTTTCAAAGAATTTTTGTAATATATTTTAAATTTGTATCTAAGTAAAATATATCAGAACTTAAATATAGTAATTTTCTTCTTCAATATAATAAAATAAAAAAAAACAAAACATTCAATATTGTTTTGTCTTTTTGTATTGAACGTATAAAATTTTTAGAATAGTTATACTTTTAAATATATATAATAATACCTTTAAAATAATTAACTTTTTGTTTTTATTTGATTACTAATCCAAGATTTTATTTGAGCGTTTGTGCGGTTTTTCAATATAGGATACTTGACTTTTATTTCATTTATTTGACTAAAAGATGGCAATTTATTATTTTTTATATTGACTGAAAATGAGGATAAGACCGCTTCGCGTTCATTATCAGTCCATCGGATTTTATTAGCTTGTCTTCTTTTAGGACCAAAAGGAGATACTGAAATATGAAGATTATGTTAGTAAATTTGCTTATAAGTACTAATATACTTATAAGCAAATTTTATATACAATTATATCAAGAATAAATTATACCAATGTATTATATATAAACATTATTTAAACATACTTCTCTTCTTTCTTTTTTCTGTACTACTATTTATACTATCTTTCCTGCTAAGCATTTCTCCGGTTTTTTAATATTCTTGTAGATTGATTACTTGAACTATTTTTACTTAAATCTGTATATTCATCGTCATCTTCATATTCATCGTTAGATTCTATCACATTTTTATTATCATAAACTGTTTCCTTTTTTGATTTTTTTTAAATTTTCTTTGTAGAATCGAAGGAATGCACTATAAAATATCAATATTATAACATATGCCTATATCCAATGCTTTTTATGTTAATTATAGATTCCATATTATTATTTATCTCTTACCATTTGGTATTCAGACTTCGCAACACACACTTGAAATATCGGGGAAAAGGACTTGTTAAAACGATAATCATGCTCAAATGTCGCATAACTTGGCATCTCAGACCAATCGCCTTGCATATCTATTGGTCAACAGCGAAGAATCGTTTCAATTTTATATTTTAATATTTAACTAACTTTGTATTTTTAACATTTAACTTTGTATTTTAATATTTAACTTTTATGTATTGATAAAGACTGTAGTGCAGTCGAAACGTTTACAATTTATATCGATTCTGTAACGGAATGTTAATTTAATTATTTAACTATTAATAAAAATTTTTACACCTTATTTATTTGCTCGTTCAGTTGGCCTACTATATATGATTTGTTTAATTTTGTTAAATTATACGAGCCTTTCATTAATTAATTATTTATCTCATTATATACTTGTATTAATAAGCAGTATAAATATATTTCAAAGGTTATATATATGTATACATACATTTGGAATCTGTATTAAATGTAAATATATATTTAAACATACCTTTTCTCTTCTTTTTTTCTAATATATTATTCATTTGATCGCCATTTCTAAATTGTTGAAATTTTTTAATATTTTTTGATATAGGTAACGTATTAGTAGTTTTTAAACATATATTTGTGTTAAGTTCATTATCTGATTCTATGTTATCATCTTCTTGACTTTCATTGCTTTCATCGGATGTCTCTTCTCCTTGAGCGTATTTTAACAATCGTGATATAGCCAAATCTTTTGTGATAACAGATTGCCTATAATGTGATCTATGTATTTTTTCATGATGGCCCATGAAGTTTGCCAAATCACTAACTTGATTATCAGATACATCTAATGTAATGCACATTGTAGCAATGTGTTTTCGTAATGTTGTACCTCGTAGAGAAGTTGGTATCTCTGCTCCAGAGGCTACAGAAAATTTGCGCATTAGGACACATGCTCTTAAATATTTGTGTCTTCTTTTATCAGTTGAGTTTATACCAAACACATAAGGATTTTCTACGGGAACACTAGCTTGTTTACGATACTTGACGATCATTTGTATACATGACAATAATTCCTCATGAAGTAAAACGGGAACTGTTCTTGCTAATTTTCCACGTATTGTTACACGCACATATTTCGATAAGGATTTTTGTAACTCAGGTGCTTCGTCTTTTGAAATTGCCGCAGGATTTTTTAAATCTTCTATTAAAATGCGTTCTAATTCGCCAGCACGTCTTCTATTGAACATCATGGTAGACACTAATGTCGTTTCAGCTAGTCTTCGCCACGTTTGAATTGAAAATCCATCGTTTTGTAATAATTTTAGAGCATTCGTACGTTCATCTTTCAAATAAGAATTCAATATTTTAATATCATCTATAGACGGTAAAACTATGTTTCTTTGTCTCATTCGACGCCTTGAGTTTCATGTACAACTTTGTTTACGCTGATAGGATAATCTTCTTCAAATAATTTTAAAAAATTTTCTACTATAACTTGATTCTCGAGTTCTTGTCTTTTTATGCATATGCTCCTTAAAATTTGTCCAACTTGCTTTATGAGAGTTCCTAACGATGATGCTACAGAAGATACCTTGTATGTCCATGTTGTTTCATCAAATTGTGCAAGATTATTAACAGCTTTCACACAATAATCATATCTCTTTGGATTATATATTGAAGTAAAATCTACCACAGTATTATCAATTTCCTTCATAGTAGCCAGAAATCGTCCTAGTAGTCTTAATCGTGCTCTAATCATGTCATGTTGGTGTTGAAGACGATACTTTAGACACATTTTATTTCCATAAGCAATTAATAACTCATCATATCTAATAAGCTGAGTTATAGTATCTTCTCTCGTCACTGGAAATACTAGTCTTTTTAATACTGTACTTGCACTATAATGTATACGGCAAGCTACTGTGCGTCCTAATACTTTTACATTTCTTTGACGAGACTCAGTCTTTTGTGTACATAACTTAAAATGATGTCGAATGTTATTCTTAGAAAAGTATCCTTTACATTTTGCACATGGAATAAAATCGACCGCTTGCTTGTTTAATTTTTTTGCCGGACGACGACATACAATTAAATTTCCTTTATTAACGTTAGGATCTGTATTATATACAAAATTTCCTGTTCGTCTAATTATAGCAATAATTTTTTTCCGTTCTGGGTTACCTAAAATTTGTAAAAAAATAAAAATGATAAAATTTAGGAAATTGCAAAGGGCTTCAATAGTAAATATAAAAGTAACAGATTGAGGGCCAATTGAAGCTAAGAAACGCAACGTAATAAGCGTCGAAATTCTAGCATTTCTAGAAATTTCGACGCTTATTCTTACGTTTCCTAGCTCCGATTAGTCCTTAATCTACTACTTTGATAAAATTTAGATTATTAAAAATGATAAAATTTAGATATTAAAAATATATAATTATTTACCTTTAGGTAAGAAACAAAACTTTTTTACATCTTCTTCAGTATTGTGTATTGATTCTAAATGCCTTGCAAATTGTGATTGCAATTTTTTACAGTATGGACACATACTCAACTTTAATTTGCGATTATCAGATGTTTCAACGTACATATCTTTATCGTCACATATATTTACTTTAGATAAATTTAATGAACTTGTTAAATTTAATTTACTTTTATTTAATTTACTTTTATTTATACTTGTATGATTTGTATTATCGCTAAGTTCATCTTCATCTGAATCTTCTGATACAGAACAATCTGATGTGTGGAAACTGTCATCCATATTACGCTCAGATGTAAGAGAATTATCAGACTCAATATTAGCATTAGTACTCATACATTCTGATGTTGATTTTTCTTTTGTTAATGTAGATTCTGCAAGTGGAGCAAAATCTACCAACATAGTATTTAAACTGTTATTATCCATGACGCAAGTCTTATTTAAAATATTTCCTTCGTCAATAATTTTATAAGTATTATTAAATTCTACATTGGATATAATTTTTATAGTCTTAATCTTATCGATTGCCTTTATATTTGCATCACAAAGCGTTATATTAATATCATTTTTATCACTTATGTTGCATATCTTAATATCACAGGCATTTTTGTCATATACAATATCATTTCTATCAGTTATATTGCATTGCTCAATATCACAGGCGTTTTTGTCATATAAAATATCATTTCTATCACATATGTTGCATTGTTCAATATCGTTTTTGTCATATAATGAACAAATATCATCTATATTCGAATTTATATTTGATGCATTAACATTTAATGTAGTATCAATGGGTAATACAGCAGCATTAATTAATGATGAATCTAGAAATAAAAATAAAAATAAGATTTTCAAAACTTAATGTACCAATAACTATTGCTTCCAATTGATATTTTTACTTTATTTAGATACTACATCTTTGAATTTTTTTTATATTCATTTTTGATAAAAATTTATAGAGTATGTATATTTTTATTGTAAATATAAGTAATATGCAAAATATATTTAAAATGTTGTTTTAAATAGTATATAGTCATATTCAGTATACATATGCTGAAATCTTACCATTTATTATGTTGTTAGTATTAAGTAATTTATTGCAATTTTTGTCAATAGTAGAAATATCTTTAGGTAAATGCGCAAGGTCTTTAATTTTATTTGCATCGCAAGATCTTATATTATCATTTTTATCATCCATGCTGCATTGCTCCATATCAAAAAACGTGCAAACATTTTCTATATTCGAATTTACATTTAATGTATCAATGTTTAATATTGTATTAATATCTAATATAGCATCAGTATCAATGAATGATGAATCTGAAAAGAAAAATGTATAATTAAAAAAAAAGACTAATGCAGATATTGGTATCAATTGTATATAATTTACTTTTATTTATAAATAAAATGCCAAATATTTCAACTCTGTGCAATTCACACACAGATCCATAAAATCAATATCTCATATAACTAAGTTATTAATAACAAAGAGCACAATAGAGAATTAATACTAAAAGCAGTTACGTAATAATTAAGTCTATGCAATATGCAAATTAGAAAGCTAAAAAAAGATTGTAATATCAAACTAATAACTTGTAAAATGAAACGACTAAGAGCTGATTTTTCTTGCTTGAATACCTGCACATGTTGACTTTGTTTGCTCTCTTTATTAGTTTTAAAATAGTTCATCTTTATTAATTTTAAAATAATTAACCTTTTTAGTTATTATATATTTTTACAGCCATTTTATATCTGCTATTGCATAAATCATTGCTGATTTGATTTTATGACACCTTTTTATATCTCTGACATGCTGTATCCACTGCAACTTTAATATTTGTACATTTAATCTGCTTTATGATATTTGTGTATTTTAGTTTCTTGTACTGCTATTGATAAAGAAAAGAATCAGAATTGAATCAAAACGTTTGGCGTTTTGGTTATAAATAAATAAATTCTTCAAAATCATACACCAACATTTAAAAATATCTATTCTTTTCACAATTAAGATTCCATATCCTTAACCCCTTTATCTGTTTTTGATAACAATTTATTATTTATTCTGATAACAATTTATTAAAAGTACGTACATAATACTCATTTTGTAAATATTTTATAAAAAGTAATGCGTACAATTATCATAAAAAAGAAAATGTCTAATAAATATACATTGAATGTATTTAAAATGTCTTACATATACAATTAGATATATGCAGAAATCTTACCATTCATTATATTGATATTATTAGTTAATTCATTAGAATTTTTATTGGTAATAGGATTATCGTTATGCAAATATGCACGATCTTTAATTTCATTATTCGCACTTGCATCATCACAAAGCATTGTATTATTCACTTTTATCACACACGTTGCATTATATATCACAGTTTTTATCAACTAATGTACAAATATTTTTTGTATTCATATCCAATGTATTCATATCCGATGTATTAATATTTAATGTGGCATTTGTATCTGCAGTTAATAATGCATTTGAAAAATAATTAAATAAGTTAAAAAATATGTATATAAAATATTGTATCGCAAACATAATTTATAGAAAAACAAAATTTACTAGATTATTTTTATTAATTTTTAATTTAGTTTTGTAATTTATAAAAAATAAATATAACTATAATTTAAAAAATATTTACATAATTGCACAATACATATTATGTATACAAATAGATTAAACATATCAAAGACTTACCATTTATCATGTTATCATTAGCTATTTTATTATTAACTACTTTATTGGGACTGCCATCACTAGAGAGAGTAGGAACATTTTTAGACGAAAATGTAGGATTTTTATCATTGCTGTGTGTTATATCAAACAGCGGTAAACTGTTACCAATTTTGTCACTTTTAGTGCATTGTTCAATATTATTGGAATCATTCGATGATGCGCAAATATCTTCACTCTTATTCGAATTTGGCATATTTGATATATCATTTGATGTGTTATTAGTATCAGAAGTTAGCGATACATCTAAGAAATGAAATTTGAATAATATTTTATTGTACATATATTAAATAAGTATAATTTTGAATAAATTTTTTAAATTAATATATATGTATATATATAAATAATGCATATATTCTAACATTACCTGATGAAATATTTAATAATTCTATAGCTGGAATTGCTTTATTCAAATTGTCTGCAATTTCTTGTAAAACAGATTTATTTGCTGAAATTTATACATAAAAAAGAAAATAAAAAATGGACACATTATACACATATATTGCTATGCAATATTATTGCATAGATATTTTTCAATATTATTTTTGCATAAATAATATTACAATATATCTGTAGAATGACAGTGAATAACATACATGTGTATAAATATATTTAAAAATAAATATAATTTTATAAAATTTTAGATACCACAATACTGTACATAAATATTGCAAAATAAAAAAAATCTGTTTATAAAAATGTACACAAATGTATATAAAAAATGCAAAAGATATGCAAGACAATATCAAATCATATTCTCTGAATAATTTTTTTATAATTCTGGAAAGGGTTATTATAGATATTATATATTAATACATATACTCACTATGAACTGCGATAATGTGAGATTTTTTTACTTTTTTCTTTTTTGAACACACAGTATAACGTCCTTTAGCAAATATTAATATAAACATTTTGTGTGTGTGTATAAACAACTGCAACAAATGCAAATATGCGCAGAAACAAAATCGAGAATATAATATTTATTCCGTCATCGAGCCATCCGTATGGTTAGGTTATGAGGTTAACATATTATTTTATTTTTAACCTAATGATATATCACAAAAAGAGTGTGAATGCGAATATCAAAAGATAATGGCTATACACTTACATAATCATAATCAATTATACACTTACATAAAAATACGATCTATTAATATAAAATAACTCGATTGCAATATATGTATTGCTCATCTACATGATGATATTGATGTTCTAAACGAGTTTGCGGAAATCGTATATAGACGATATAGACTAGACATGCGGAAAAGCTGCACGCTCATTGGATATCGCGCATCGCGTGTCGCGTCATCGCGCTGGTGTGCAGGAGCCATTATGATTTACGACTCTATTGTAGACTAAGCTTTAAATTAATCTTTTGTAAGGAAAAGCATTGAAATAAATATTAAAGCTTTGAATGGTAATATAAATATTTTTACTCCTCTCTATATATATTTATAATAGAAAAAAAAATATTACTATTTTTTAAATTAAATGCAGCTACATGCATATTTAAAAAAGTGCATATGATCATTAAGAATGCCTTTATATATACCGCGATGTCTTTGACGACAGTCGTGAAAACTGCCAATAGTCGTCAAAACTGCCAACTTATACTTCAAGATGTCGTCAAAACTACCTTTAGACAAATATATATATATTGTACAATATATTATATATATGTGGGTGTATATACAGGGTGTCCCAGACCTACCGTATCACACGTTAATAGGAGATTCCTGAGGCGATTTGGAAACGATTTTTCCTCAGCGAAAATGTCCAGGCACTAATAATTTTTGTTATAAACGATTGAAAATAGAAGATTTTTTGTAAATTAAAAAATAAATGTAAAAAATAAATTATTAACAAAACTACATTTTTTAGTTAATTTTAGGTAAAGTTTACTTTAATAGAATTTTAATTTAAAGCTTATTGTTAGTTACAAAGATACATGATTTCAAAAGTTGGGAACAATAAAAAAATGATGACCTTTCTCGATATTTTCGCTGAGGAAAAATCATTTAGTAACGTAACAAATTCTTAAATATGTAAATGTAATAAGATGCATTATAATTAAAAACGAATAACTTTTGTTGTATATTTATAGTTTTTAATGCAAGAGTATGTATATATGCAACAAGCCTTAAAATTTTTAATCAATCTTTTTTACTTATAGCGCAATCATTACTAGAAATAATGCTATGTTGAATCTATGCGACACAATATCAGTACTGGGTATGACTAGTGCAATTACAGTATATAATATTTTCAAATGGTCATTCGATGATCTTTTTATTACAGGTCACAAGATTCTATCAGTGGATACAATAATATTAAGTTCTCCCTTAAAAGATTCTCATGTTTTGTAATGGATTCTTCCCTAACATTTGATGTAAACTGGATATATGACTTGCAAATTAGTATCCATCAAGTTCTTTGGGCTGTTTAAAATAAAAAAACAAAATTAATAGAGAATGTGACATTTAAACCTTGTTTCTACAGCAAACTTATCAGTATAATTGTCATCGTCACACTTCAGTCTTTCCTTAGATTGAAAGGACAAAAAGGTAAGGAGACATGATATTTAAAAATATTATATCATACTCTAGTTACACTCTAGTCATATTCAGCACTGGTAAATATACGCATGCATAGATTTAACATTGCATTATTCCTAGGGTAACGGATGCACTGTAAGTAAAAAAGATTGATTAATGATTTGAAAAAACTTTTTAGGCTTGTCGCACATACTCTTGTATTAAAAACTAAATAAACATTAAAAAATATTCGTTCCTAATTATAATGTATATCTTATGACATAAACATTTAAGAATTTGTTACATTATTAAATGTGCACATTCTTTTATAACAAAAAATATTTACCCAATGCTATTGCGAAATGAAGAAAAGACCAAAATCTCGTAAACTTTTAAATATGTTTAGAACTAAATATCTCTAATAAGATATTAAATTAATGATATATGTAAAATTAAGCTTCCTGTCATATGTGCAGAGTATACATATATGTATACATATAATATAATATAATATATATTTATCCAAAGGCAGTTTTGACAACGTTCTCAAGTATAACTAGGCAGTTTTAACGACTGTTGGCAGTTTTCGCGACCGTCGTCAAACATATCGCAGTACAAACGCAGTTTTAACGACTGTCGTCATATCTACCTTTATATAAATATTTATACTATATGCATAGTAAACCACGTAGAAGAACGTTTTGTATTATTGAAGTAACTATTATATATTTATAAGCAGTTTTATTTTGTTGTATAGTTGTTTTACGTATAATATACTGTACGTAAACATTTAATAACTGTACTATATTCTTTGGCGCTTAAAATTTCATGCCACGGCAGTGAGATTTTACGTGCAAAAAAACACCATATATAATTATTAATTGCTTTAAACAGTACAACATGTAAAACACAGATATACATAATATAACAACATTTAAATATGAAAATATTTTAACCAAGCATTTTTCTACATTGTTTACTGAATGTATATATATATATATATAGGCATACAGCCATATAAAGGTAGATTTGACGACTGTCGTTAAAACTGCCTTTATATCGCGGTGCCTTTGACGACGGTCGTGAAAACTGCCAATAGTCGTCAAAACTGCCAAATTATACTGCAAAATGTCGTCAAAACTGCCTTTAGACATATATATATATATATATACAGGGTGCTCCAAAAAAATTGGAACACTGAATAAACTCGAAAAGTATACGTTATATATACATATATATATATATATATATATTAGAATATTGCAAACAATTTATAAATGGAAAAATATTGAAAATTTCAAAATTATCTTTATTTTTAGAATGATCTTGTTCGTTTATCGGCTCGGTCTGGAGGCGCTCTCCGGACTTGGAGCTCTTCCACGTTGAGGAAAGAGTATCTCAAGAGATAACCGCGTTTTTTGTCAATCACTGCACTTTATTTGATTGATTACTCAACAAAACGTTTCGCCTTGCGCGAGAGCGCTACAAGGATCGCGGAGATACGAATTTTGTTGGACACCGTTTTCGTACGTTCAAACTCACTCGCAAGTCGCTAGAATAACTCGAGACGGTCCTCAAACGATATAGAGAGGACCAGCGCGAAAAACTAAGTGAAGCCGCGCCGCTCCGTTTTCCCGCCCCGCCGCTCGCCCTCAGCTCCTCGATCCACCGAGTACGGGGGCGGGCCGGGGAAAAGACAGAGCCTAAAACAAGGACCGATAACCCGGTCGGCGCAATTCAAAAAATCCTATCCGTTAAATTAACGGACATGCCGCCCGCCTCGTCCAGTCGACGAAATTCAAGTAACAAATTGATTTACGACTAGAACAAATTAAGAACAAATTGAAATAAAAGAACAAATTAGTAGTGAATTAAGAAAAACCAAAAGTAAATAAAACTACGGAGAGATGTCAGGGTGTGCCCGCGAGGACCAGTACGCGATTCTGTCTCAGCGACGCCATGACCACTCGATCACCCGTGCCCCGCAGCTCTCCTAGGATTCCGATGCCATCGGTTCTGCGGCCACGGGTAAGGGGCATATCCTAGCGATGGGCCGTCTTAGCATCGTCGTTGCCGTACGAATCTCCGCAACGCGGACACAGCCGTCCGGTCCGGGGAAGACCCGGGTAACCCGGCCTAGTAGCCATTTGGCCGGCGGCAGCAGCTCGTCCTTTACCAGCACCATCATGCCGGTGGCGATGTTGGCCTGCTCCGTAGTCCATTTGGAGCGCTGCTGAAGCTGATGCAGGTACTCCGAGTGCCACCGCTTCCAGAATGACTCTTTCATGGCCGAAATCAATCGCCAACGCGATGTAGGATGACGATCGCTCTCCGGGGTCTCCGGCAGGGTGCAGAGCGCCTCGCCCACCAAGAAGTGCCCTGGCGTTAGCGCCACCAGGTCCGAAGCGTCTGAGCTCAATGGGCACACCGGTCTGGAATTGAGGCAGGCCTCAATTTGACACAACAACGTTGACAGCTCCTCGTAGGTTAACGCATGGTCACCAAGGATGCGCCGCAGGTGATGCTTAACCGAACGGACTCCCGCCTCCCAGATGCCCCCGAAGTAAGGAGCCTGCGGGGGGATGAATCTCCATTTGGTCCGGCCGTTGGCCAACAGTACTTCGGCTTCCTTGTAAAAGTCGGAGGCGGCACGGAATCTGGCCCTCAAGTCAGCGTCAGTTCCACGAAAGTTAGTCGCGTTGTCGCTAAGCAGCAGGCGACAACGACCCCGACGGAAAGTGAATCGGCGAAATGCCGCAATGAAGGCCGGTGCCGATAAGTCCGATACGGCCTCCAGGTGGACCGCTCGGGTCGCTAAGCAGATAAAAAGACAGATGTAGCCCTTGTAGGCGGCATGACCTCTTCCCCTTTGCGCGCGGATACGCAGGGGACCTGCGTAGTCCACCCCTGCTGATGCGAAGGGTCTTGTGGGGCGAACCCGCTCGGCCGGCAGCTGACCCATCTTCTGTTGCGCCGTTTCCGCCCGAAAACGGGTGCAGCGCACGCACTCTCGAGCGATCCTTTGGGCTCAAGCAGCCACCCCCACAATCCAGAAGCGGCAAAGGAGGTAGTTCCGCATGAGCTGTAGTCCCCCATGCAAGGTCGCCGCATGCGCGTCGCGAAGGACCAGTTCGGTGAGGTGACCCTCCCTTGGAAGAATCAACGGGTGCTTCTTCGAGAAGGGCAACTGAGCCGACTGAAGCCGTCCTCCTACTTGCAAAGATCCATTCTCGTCCAAGAGCGGGCTCAACGCACGCAGAGGCGAGCCACTCGGCAGCGGGCCGCCCGCCGTAAGCGCTCCCAGCTCCCCCAGAAACTCCTGTCGCTGCGCCACTCTCACCATCACGAGCAGGCTGGCTTCCAACTCCGCACTGGTCATGAACCCGCTTCGGTCCCTGACACCGCGAGCGCGCCGGAAGAACCGGTAACAGTAGGCGACGACGCGGACTAGCCGAGTCAAGGTTGAGAACCGATCTTCGATGAGTTTCTCTCGTTCCTCCGGAACCGCCAGATGTATTACCCGTCTCTCCTCCTCCTCGTGGTGGGAACCAAGGTCGCCCGTCACCGGCCACGTGGAGGGCTCATCCCGGAGCCATCCGGGACCCCTCCACCATAGATTTAAACCGAGGAGCTCCGAGACCGGAATCCCTCTAGTCGCTAAGTCGGCCGGGTTCGCAGCGGTGGGGACGTATCTCCATTGGTCACTCGGAATCAGGTCCTGCAGCTCAGCCACCCGGTGTGCCACAAACGGTCGCCAGCGCGACGCATGCGACCGCAGCCAGCAGAGGACGACCCGAGCATCCGTCCAAGCGACGACGGGTACGCCCTCCATGTCGAGGTCTCGAGCCACCCGGCGTAGTAACCGAGCCAACAGAACGGCCCCGCAAAGCTCCAATCGAGGCACGCTCTGTGTTTTGATTGGCGCCACCTTGGTTCGGGCTGTCAGCAAGGTCACCTCCACTCGTCTATCCTGCTTCGTGACCCGGACGTAAACGGCCGCCGCGTAGGCCCTCTCCGACGCGTCCGAGAACCCGTGCAGCTCTACCTTGTCCTCAGGGCTGACCTGCAGCCAGCGAGGTATTTGCAAGGCCGCCAGCCCGGGCAGTGACGCGCGGAAGAGACCCCAGGCCTCCGTCAGCTCCGGTGGAAGGGGGTCGTCCCAGCCGTATCCCGCAAGCCACAGGTCTTGCAGGAAGATCCTAGCATAGATCAGGACCGGAGCGACTCAGCCCAGCGGGTCGAAGAGTCGAGCCGCCTTAGACAGGACCGCTCGCTTCGTGATCGCCTCGTGCTGCGGGAACGCCGCCACCCTGATCGACAACGCATCTTCGTCCGGGCGCCATATTATCCTCAGAGCGCTCACATCCTTGAAAGCCGGGAGCGGCGTCTCCTCCGGTGACGTCTGCGGGAGGAGCTCCCGCGCATTCGCCGCCCACTTGCCCAGCGCAAACCTCCAGTCTAAAGCAGTGCTACTAATTGCAGCTGAACCTCCCGAGCCGCAGTCGGTTCATCTCCACCCGCCAGGATGTCAACATAGAAATGTTGCAACAGGGCCGTCGCTCCCAGCGGAAAACGCCTAGCCTCGTCCCGAGCCAACTGCGTCAGCGTGCGTATAGCCAAAAAGGGGGCAGAGGTCGTCCCGTAAGTCACCGTCTGGAACGGAACTCCCGAACGCTCTCCGCAGGACTAGCACGCCAGAGAATTCTCTGCAGATCCACGTCCTCTGGATTCACCCGGATCTGCCGGAACATTTTAACAAAACGTTTAGAATTGAATAAATGAGCTTTATGTGAGATCTCATTTCTGTTTATTAATTTTTGTGCATGACATCTGCACAGGCTCCGATTGCCGTCGATATTTCATTTTTATTGTAATACAATAATTTGAGCCGAGTACAAAAGATTTCATTTTAACAATGTCGGCCATGAATCCGACTAGGAATTTTCGCCATCGGGTCAGTATGATCCACAAGTCAGACTGCAACCGTGGACCTGGCAACAGACAGTCATTTAGTGAATGATCGGAGGAAGTTCGGAAAGACGCGTTAAAGACCACGCGTATTTTTCCCGAGGGATCGTCAGCCTTGAAGACCGCGTGGTGTGGCAGATAGTAGGACACCGACGGACGGGAAGCACCAGCCGGCACAGGATTCATGTGTTCCAGCGCGAGCTACTCCACCATGAAGTCGGTGTAGCGTTTTTTCAGCTCGGGCTTCCTTGCCAGACGCCGATCCGAGCCGAGCAGCATGGACAGCGCTGCCGAGTGCGACTCGCTCAGCTGACCGAACCGATCCAAGTTGCAAGGCAGTCGCACGACGTATCTTCCGGTCGCGTCCCGGAAGTGCGTTTTCTGGAAATGTTCCTCCGCCCGGTCCTCGTCCGGAGTCGGAACGCGCTTAGCGGCAACCTCCTCGAGCTCCCACAGACGCCTAAGGGTCGCCGACAGCTCGTCAGCAGGCTGAGTCAGTAGCACAGTCACCGCACACGTTGCGACCGGAACTGTCTCCTCGATGGCCATCTCGCCTGTCAGGACCCAGCCGAAAGCGGTAAGATGCGCTTCAGGGGATCCCGGCTCGCCGCAGCGGACGGCTGGCCGCTTCACCTTGCCGTAGATGTTGGCGTCCAGTATGACGTCTACCGTAGCCGGCGTCGCGTAGTCAGGGTCCGCCAGCGGAAGACCCTCTAAGTGCCGCCATGGCTGCGTGACAAGGCGCTCAGGGGGCATCAAGTTCGCCAGTCGTCGGAGCACAAACGCTTCCGTTTTGAGCCGAAACGTTACGTCCGTCGGAAATCTAATTACGAGCCTTGCGGCGGTAGTAGCGTCGGCCATATGCTTACCCTGTAGGCCGGACACCGGAACGTTGACGCGGCGGCGGTCAACGCGCAAGAATTGCGCTACTCTTTCGGTGACGAAAGAGACCGCTGCTTCCGAATCGAGCAGGGCTCGTACCGTTAGCCGCCGTTCGGATGGTCCCTCCAGCAGGACCCGTGCCGTCGCCAGTAGTACGGTTTTCCTTTCCAGGGCCGCGGGAGGGGTCACACTCGCATTCAGGATCGTAGCGTCCGCCGCGGCCGGATTCTCCGGCTGGTTCCTCCCCTTGGAATCACCTTCTCCTTGCCTAAAAGAGAGTCCGTGCAAGGTTGTATGGTGGCTTGCGCCACACACCAAAGCAGCGACCGCTGCCCGGACAGGAGTCCGCCTGATGGCCGGGTTTGACGCAGTTCCGGCACGCTTCCAATTTTCTTACCTGTTTTGCGCGCTGAGCGACAGGCAACGCCTTATATTTAGGGCAGAACGTCAGCGCGTGCGAGCCCTGGCAAAGAGCACAGTTTTTTGCCTTAGGTTTCGCGGTCACGACCGTGTTGCATGCCACGCGCGTGGGTTTAGTCGAAGACTTTGCACTCGCCCCTGGTCCTCCCCGCGGGAGGGGGACATCCACCCTCGCAGCCTCCAAAGCGCGCACTCGGTTCTCCAGGTAGGCCTGTAATTGCTGGAAAGTTGGAAAATCGCGGGAGTCCAGCAGCGACGTCTCTCAGTGCATCCGCGTTGTGGCATCTAACTTGCCTACGAGAAGATGGACGAATCAGTTGTCCCAATGTTCGACCGGTCGCCCCAGAGAGTCTAACGCTCGCCGGGTTTGGTTAAGCACGCCCAGCAGGCGTTTAATTTCGGTAGCCGAGGACTTGACAGCGGCCGGGCACGAAATTAGATGTCGCATGTGAGCGCAAAGAAGAACGCGAGGGTTATCGTAGCGCATCATCAAGTCCCCCCATGCCCCGTCATAGGCTCCGTCCGTTAAGGGTACACCGGCCACGACTTCCGCGGCTTTACCGATCAGGCACCCCATTAAGTATTGAAGCTTTTGCACCTTAGGGACCCCCGTTACGTCATGCACGAGCGAGCGAAATAAGTTTCGGAAGCCTTCCCACTCGAGTTGGTCGTCGTTTGAGAATAATTGTCGCTGAATTAATGTACGGCGTTTGCAATTCCGAGACGACCACGGAAAGAGGAGAGTAACCCTAATTAGATATTTAAAGAAAACACAGCGACCTCCTCCGCGCTCGATGATTATGTAATATCAACGCCTTGTTCTTATATATATTATCCACTGAAAATATACTATTCTCATTTTATCTTAGATCTGATTGTAGTTTACGTCGATATTTCCTCTCTCTCTCCGAGACGGCGATTCCGACTCTCCTTACAGAAAGAACCACGACACTCTACCCCCTGTTGATACCGAGCTTCCGAGGTTGAGCCGTCGTGTCCGCTAATTAGTTGTCGCGATATTAATGAGTGGTGCGGCCTGTCCGTACCTGGCGCCCAAAAATTACGATACCGAGTGACGATTGTGAGAACAGAGAGCGGCACGACGAGGTTGCGCAGCAGTCTCTCTCGCACTCTCTCTCTTTTGACGAGAGAGGACGGAGAGACGATCGCAATATATATATATATATATATATATATATATATATATATATATATATTAGAATATCGCAAAAAATTTATAGCTGGAGAAAACCTTGAAAATTTCAAAATCATGTTTATTTTTAAATGATCTCAAGAATACAAATATAAGTTTCACTGTAGACATATATATTCTATATATGTATATATAAATGTATGTATGTATAGGGTGTCCTGCAACTGATGTCTACAGTGAAACTTATATTTGTATTCTTGAGATCATTTAAAAATAAACATAATTTTGAAATTTTCAAGGTTTTCTCCAGCTATAAATTTTTTGCGATATTCTAATGATACCCCTTTCATTTTTATTCAACATTTATGGGGTTCAATTTTTATAAAATTTTTATACATAAATAAATAAATATATATATATACAATATATATATATATAATTTCGAAAAATAATAATTTCTAAAAAATAAAGCAGTCATTTGCTTATTTTAAATAGTTATTAGTAATAAAAATATTATAGTAGTAATAAATAGTAGTTACAATAGTACAATAGTAGTAATAATAGTTATAAAATTGCAGTAGTAACAAAAAAAGATATTTCATACCAAAGACGATCCATTCGTCTGCTAGTTGCTTCTAAAATATCTTCTCCCAGAACGATTTGCATGTACGCTGTGAAAAAAGATATTTTATATCAGAGACGATATATTTGCCTGCTAATTGTTTCTAAAATATATTCTTTCAGAACGATTTGCATGTGCGTTCTGATTATTAAAAAAATATATTTTATACCAGAGACGATATATTCGTCTGCTAATTGCTTCTAAAAATATCTTCTCTCAGAACGATTTGCATGTGCGTTCTGGTTATTTAAACAAAGATATTTTATACCAGAGACGATATATTCGTCTGCTAATTGCTTCTAAAAATATCTTCTCTCAGAACGATTTGCATGTGCGTTCTGGTTATTTAAACAAAGATATTTTATACCAGAGACGATATATTCGTCTGCTAGTTGCTTTTAAAAATATCTTTTCCCAGAACGATTTGCATATGCGTTTTGGTTATTAAAGTTAGTATCCAATCGTTACTACCTACAATGCAATGCCTGGAGCCAAATTCAAATACAGGTACGTGTAGTAAAAATGTCGAACTTTGCGAAGATAACAATCATTTTGTTATCTGAAGAATAGCTCTCTGGATATAAATCGTATCCAGGAAAGCATGCGCTCAAGGGCGTCGCATTGTCGACTCTTCTCATATGTGGAATAAACTTCAAAGATTATTCAATAATCATATGAAAGAAATAGAGTGCCAATTTAAAAATTGGAAACTCATAAAAACTAAAACCGAAGGCCAAGAGGAAAATGGCTCTAGGAATAGCACATATAAGAATACTAGCAATGAATCAATCGATTTTCAAAAATCGGTGAAATTATTCTCAGATACGATGGATTCTAAAGTTAGTATTCAAAAAGTGTCGCTTTTCCTAAATAATAAAAATTCATCAAATCAATAATTTGTTATATTCCAATACATATCGTTGCAAAAAGACGCCTTAATGCAAATGTCTTGTTTGCTATAATCGGAGAGACGAAAAAAAAAACATTTTGTGGCGTTCTCACGGGAATGGGCGATGGAGGGGCTCATTTTATCCTCGATGTTTAAAAGAATATTATATAATATTTTTTTCATTATCAAGTTACATATAATTATCAATATAATTAACTATCATTTACATGTTGTGTATGAATATATTTACTGAGCATTCACATGTGTGTATAAATATATTTACTGAGTGTTCTAAATAAAACGTTACAATTTTTTATTTCTAAAAGTATAATTTTTAGAAAATAATGCTGCAAATAAAAGTTGTAGTATCTCTGTTGAAATACTGAAACTTTTATTTGCAGCATTATTTTCTAAAAATTATACTTTTAGAAATAAAAAATTGTAACGTTTTATTTAGAGCACTCAATAAATATATTTATATACACACATGTGAATGCTCAGTAAATATATTTATACACATACATGTAAATGATAAGTAATTATATTCATACACACATGTGAATGATATATATATATATACAGGGTGATTCAAAACAACCGTTTGTCCTTAAAATGTCGTATTCCTGACTCAATTCTAAGACGATTTTTCCTTTGCCAAAATTTTATCCGAAGCTTAGTTTTTGAAATATAAAAAGAAATAGTTAGCGAATTACAGCACGAGTACGGGCGGTAATCAGGAGCGGCGCACCACATTATCCGACGCGGGCGATTACGTGGGCGCTCGAAGCGATCAGCTGTTTGTTACACGCGGCGTTTTGTGTGTGTGTGTGTGTGTGCGTGTGTGTGTACGCGTATACACACACACACACACACACTCTCTCTCTCTCTCTCTCACTGATTCTTACCTTGTAGAGATGTTTGATGTCCTTTGACGAATAATTGTTGCCTGACTGGATACAATCCGATATTGACACACTGTGACACACTGCATAATGAAATCATTTTTTTGTAATAAATTCTATTGACACTTTGACTCACGCACTTGATTAAAAATTATTGTAATAAATAACTGATTATAAATTACAACACATAATCACAATCTGAGAGAATTTTCTCTTAGAATTTGCCCTGAAAATTGTGGTAATCGTAGGATAATATTGTATGGAAAAAATTTTATTAGAATTCCTCTAATTAATATTTATCACATTCAAAATAATAATATATATCACAATAAAATATGAAACATGTTTTATTAATTTTACTAAACCGTAAAGTAAAATTAATGAAATATATTTTATATTTTATTGTGATAAATATTATTATTTTGCGAATAATTATTTAGTCAGCTTTTTTAATTTTTAAAGCCACAATCTCCACTTGATTCCTCTCGACCAATAGAGCCAAACGCGATGTTATTGCGACAATTATGAAGGAAAGAACATTTTTGGAAAGGAATTCGAATCCTATGGTTGGGATCTCAAAAATTCCCCCTGTTCCTTCTCTTAACATCCCCTGTAAAGAAATAGGCGAGAAAAATATTGGTCCGAAAGTCGGCTGAATCGGGACTCGAACCCGAGACCTTCTGCTTGCCGGGCGACTGCTCTTCCAACTGAGCTATTCAGACACTTACGAATAAGCTCAGTTGGAAGAGCAGTCGCCCGGCAAGCGGAAGGTCTCGGGTTCGAGTCCTGATTCAGCCGACTTTCGGACCAATATTTTTCTCGCCTATTTCTTTACAGGGGATGTTAAGAGAAGGAACAGGGGGAATTTTTGAGATCCCAACCATAGGATTCGAATTCCTTTCCAAAAATGTTCTTTCCTTCATAATTGTCGCAATAACATCGCGTTTGGCTCTATTGGTCGAGAGGAATCAAGTGGAGATTGTGGCTTTAATTATTATTTTGAATGTGATAATTATTAATCAGAGAAATTCTAATAAAATTCTTTCCATACCATATTCTCTTACAATTACCATAACTTTTAGGGTAAATTCTAAGAGAAAATTCTCTCAGTGTTTTGATTAATTATTAAAAATTACTTGTAAAAACGCGCGGCGCGCACAGCACACGTTACTCGATGCGGACGGCAATAGTTTACACGGCAAGGACACGACAATCATAATCACAATCTAAGAGAATTTTCTCTTAGAATTTACCTAGAAAATTATGGTAATCGTAGGACATTATGATGTGGAAAGAATTTTATTAGAATTTCTCTACTATTTATCATATTAAAAATAATAATATGTATCACAAGAAAATATAAAATATGTTTGATTAATTTTACTATACAGTTTAGTAAAATTAATCACACATATTTCATATTTTATTGTGATAGATATTATTTTTAATGTGATAAATATTAATCAGAGAAATTTTAATAAAATTCTTTTTATACCGTATTGTCTCACAATTACCATAACTTTTAGGGTAAATTTTAAGAGAAAATTCTCTCAGTGTACCAATTAATTATTAAAAATTACTTGTAAAAAGGCACACGTTACTCGATGCGGACGACAATTGTTTACACGGCAAGGACACGACAACAGACTGCGGCGACGGACGACGCGACGCGTCGCGACGCTTCGCGACACGTCTAGACGATAACAATCACGCGGCGTTGCCGAACATGTGATTGACGCGAGACATGTATTAAAACGTATAATAATTATGTTATTAAAAAAGGCATATTATAACGTATTATAATTTTTTACGTTATAATACATTTTTTTTAATGACTTAACATTATCCGCCCGTTTTGCCCTTTCTTTTTAAGCGAGACGTGAGAAAAATGATTATGTTTTGCGAACAAGATGTTCCATGTATAAATGTATTGGTCGCTCTGAAAAGAGCGGATTGACTTTGGTCGCTCTGAAAAGAGCGGATTGACTTTGGTCGCTCTGAAAAGAGCGGA